CTGCACTCCAGTCTGGGCAACAGAGTGAGACTCCAACTCAAAAAAAAACCCAAAAAACAACAACATATACGTTCAACAAAAATACTTAATGAAACATCATGTGGTTCTAGAACTCTGTTTGGCTTAAGCTGGGGGCCTATGTTTGATGTTTAACAAAACTGAATGTTATACTTATTTCTTCTCTGATTTTGGTACTACAGAAAGCTTAATTAAAACAGTAACTGATACTGTTCTTTCATTAGAGACTGCCATCAAATACATTAAGAAAATCTCTCAAGGGAAAAGAACATCTGATGTGTTTACAGGAGCAACTAACAGTTGGCTTACAGGCATTCTAAATGGTGTATGGCAAGCTTGGGTCTTTGAGGTTTTCTAATCTTTATATTTCTTCTTGTTGGTCTCCAGATTATTATGATTTGTGTTGCCGGGGTAACAATGTAAATGGATGCTTCTTTGAATCAGGCTACTTTACAGTGAACTATGGTCCTTAATCGCTATCACACTCCAAACGAGGACTATGACTAATTAGACCCTGATACCATTGAACTGCCTATATTACCTGAACTTTGGCTTGTCTAATTGGGTTTGGTTTGTTTCATAAGAACTCTCAGCTGGGCTCAGTGGCTCAGCCTGTAATCCCGCGCCTTGTGAGGCTGAGGTGAGTGGATTGCCTGAGCCTGCAGGTTCGAGACCCGCCTGGGCAACTTGGCGAGACCTCATCTCTACAATAAATAAAAAAATCAGCCTGGCGTGGTAGCACATGCCTGTAATTCCGGCTACTCAGAAGGCTGAGACGGAAGGATCGCTGGAGCCCAGCAGGTTGAGGCTGCGGTGACTGGGAGCGGCCACTGCACTCCAGTCTGGGCGACAGAGTGAGACTCTAACTCAAAAAAAAAAGAACTCTCGGCCGGGCTCGGTGGCTCAGCCTGTAATCCTAGCACTTTGGGAGGCCGAGATGAATGGATTGCCTGAGCCCACGAGTTCGAGACCCGCCTGGGCAACTTGACAAGACCTCATCTCTACAATACATCAGAAATTAGCCGGGCGTGGTAGCGCACACCTGTGGTTCCAGCTACTTGGAAGGCTGAGGCGGAAGGATCGCCTGAGCCCAGCAGGTCGAGGCTGCGGTGGCCGGGAGCAGCCATTGCACTCCAGTCTGGGTGACAGTGAGACTCCAACTCAAAAAAAAAAAAAATAAAAAAGAACTCTCTTTAAGGAGTACACCTTGGCGTTTTGGTATTATCATAATAATGGTTCCCCTGGTGTGCTGTATCCTCTCAAGTCTTAAATGCTTTGTATGCAGCCGTCTATGGAGAGTTAAGTGGCTCACTTTAACTAGGTCAGCACATTATGGAAAAGATGGTGTTGAAGTTGAACCCTGAAAAAAAATGGCTTTGCACCTATGCATGCTGGGGAAAAAAAAGTTTAGACTTGGAGCAGTGGCTTGCACCTGTAATCCCAGCACTTTGGGACACCAAGACAGGAAAATTTCTTGAACCCAGAAGTTTGAGATCAGCCTGGGCAACATAACAAGACCCTGTCTCTACAGAAGAAAATAAAGCTTAAGATGCTGCAAAGGAATGGCAGCAGATTAGAGCTGAACTAACTTTTGGATGCAAGTAGTCACTTACCATAAATTACTTACATGAAAAAGTCACTGATGACCTCTCAGAGAATTTTTTTTTTTTTTTTGAGTTGGAGTCTCACTCTATCGCCCAGACTGGAGTGCAATGGCC